CCTGCTGCCCACCTCTCATATGCTACCTTACCTCCAGCAATATCAAGAAATGTGCAACTGATGAAAACAGATATTTCAGTAATGATATCTTTAAATGTGTCTGCCACTTTCATTTAAGTCAATGAACAATGATTCTTCAGTCTCACATTTACTGAAATTTCATCTTCCAGCTCATATTAACCACCACAAGTTTGTTATTAGCACTTTTATTTCCTGTTGACTTTTTTTTTGTACAGACCGATTTCAATGAGCTGGATCTTGAAACCCTGGCTCCTTACATTCCCATGGATGGTGAAGATTTCCAGCTCAGCCCAATCTGCCAAGAAGAACACCCTCTCTCTGAAATTGCACAAAATACCCAGCAGAGCTTAAGTAGCATGAGTACCATCTTCCAGCCCCTTGCTTCTGCCGCACAGAATCAGTTCCTCTCGGAGAAATACTGCCAACAGGTGTCAAATAAAAACATCAACCCCAATCCTGGGCATCTGTCATCTGTGTTTTTCAACAACATGAATAAATCATCTTTGCCACCATACCAGGCACGAGCCAGCACCCCACTGTCTTCTTTGGGTGGAAGGCCGAATACTCAATGGCCACCTGATCCACCATTACAATATGTTCCTACTAAATGGAGACTAATGGATAAATACTCTGGATCCTTAGCCAACTCTCCATCTGGGCCACCAATCCACTCTCCCCACACATCTGTATATAAGAAAAGGTAATTTCCTCCTAGTGTGAAAATTCTGAAATCTGTGCTTTATTGAGAGAAAAGAGCTCTTTGCTATAACCTTGAAACATTCGAATTGCCCCCTCAACTAGAGCAATTTATTTCATCAGGTGGCTAGAATAGTTGTGACCTAGTTCTGTTTCCACTAGCATGCCTGTTCCTTTGACTTTACTGGGAGCAGGACAGGGCTGTTTGCCTATCACAAAACCAGATGAAAAAGCTGAGTCAGGAAAATTTACCTAATTTAGAAAAGGTCAAGGAGTGGGAGAAGAAGGATGATCTTGGGGGTAGAATCTGTGCTCAGTTCCCTGCTCGTCCACAGACTTCCCTGGAAAAAGCCTCTTTGTGAGTCAGATCTCACTGTGGGAAACAGGGATGATAGTGTTTCTCTTCCCCACCAGGGAACTGGGAGGATAAACATATTTAAAGACTAGGAGGTAAAGACTGTGAGGTAAGACTGGGGACCACATACTTACCATATATAGCTACAGAATAGCTTTTGTTCTAGATTTTCAATGTATTTCATTTACATTGATCACTGTCCAACACACAACAGTGATTGGGGTAGCATAAGAATTGTGGTAGGCAAGCCAAGTTAGTCACAAATGGTAGTCCGCTTATATTCATCAGTTCTACCACTGATGTACTATTTTCCCATGAACAAGTTGCTTAACTCCTCGTGCTTCATGTTGCAACTCTAAAATGGCAGGAAAAATGTTACCCATTTTTATAAGGTTCTTTGGGATCTTCATATGTCTGGTATTCTTTTAATAATAGTCTTAGAAAAATTACCTATGCTGGGACTGTGATTCTGGTTTATACGAGCAATAATTTGCAAGATCAGTTAAATGGTAGACACAAAAAGCTAATCTGCGTATTTGTATTTATTGTTTAGTATATTAGTATTGTGCCTGCATAATGGAATACAGAATGAGCCTCTTATGGATTAAGATCGTAGTTTTTACATTCAATTTTTTAAATAGATTGCAAGGTGCTGAGTACACTAGGTTTTCATTTATTGCAACATAAAGCATGAAAGCATCCAGGAATTATGGACAGTGAAAACACTGGGTTAACTGACAAAAAAAAAAAATCTGTGTTTGCACTGCAGTCTAACGTGAGTCCCAAAGTATCTTAATTTTGCAACCAAACAAGACTTTTTGGTTATGGTTCATTTAAGGAGAAGTCTTTTCTTGCCAGGTCACTGGAGAGTTTTGGGCAACGGGGCATAGATATAAATCCGGCAAGAATTGCTCTGTCCAATAGTTTGAAACTGAAGCGACAGCTGGATTATGAAGAACAAGCATTTCAACACCTGACTGGGGTAATCTATTAATTCACACATTTCACATTATAGCCATTGAAAAGATTTTTCATTTTGATTATTTATATCTGTTTCTGGTTCCTTTTAAAAAAAAATAATTTTAGGCGGATGCATCAGCCATTAACGCATCTCAGTTAATGTGGAAAAGAATGAAAATGCTGAAAGGGGAAAATTGTTCATTGGTTGCAGAAAAAAAGTCCCTCAGCACAAGTGTCCTTAATGGTAAGACAAGAAACTGATTTCATGTTGTTTGTCCTACAATTATATCTAGAAATGAGTTGAACAGAAACAAAGACTATGCATGCAGGGGTTATCATAGTGTCACTTTTGTACCAGGGGCATCAGAACTACAGTAAGCCAGACTGTAAAGCAGACTTTCATTAAGAGGCCACTAATGGTACTGCCAAATTAGCAGTGTTGCTAATGGTATTGTCCTGTAAAAGGAAAGTTATTATACTTGGATTTCTTTTTCAAGAGATGTCAGAGGAATTGATTTCACACAATAGCATAGATGTTGACCTAAATCCTGTTTTAATTGACTCACCTGAATGTAGTTTGTGATTCAGTCCTAGGCATGTGAGCTTCATGCACCCACTGAGCATACTGCCAAGTATGGCTGTGCTCTGGCCAGTCAGGTATGTGGTAACATATGATGGCACAAGTATAGACATGAGACCAGTTTAAGTCCCAACATTTTAATCAGGCAAACTTATGGCTAGTAGATGTTAGGAGGAGGAAGCAGAGCACCTAATAGATAGGGCATTTATCCAGGGAGTGGGAGACACAGGCTCTAAGTTGTTCTCAGAGAGAGAGTATGAACCTTTATCTTCTGCTTCCCACCACAAGCCTCAAACTACCAGGAGTGCGCTGATGTGCCCATACCAGACCAGCCCTGCATGCTAGATCCGAGGCCAGTCTGGTACAGACTCACAGACTGGCTGTGAGTGCTGGATCCAGCACGCAGGGCCAGTCTGGTATAGACACCACAAGCAGCATGTGCTACAAACTGGCCTTGCGTGCTGGTTGTAGCATGCGCTCCAGACTGGCTCCATGTACCATGGGCCACCTGCAGGTTTGGGGCCAGTGCATGTTGCATGAGGTGTGTTACCAAATTTGCCCATTACTTTGGGGTGTGCTCATTTATTAGGGATAGTTTCTAGGGTCTTGGTGATTCTGTCAATGTGCTGCTTGTGTTACTATACGGAGCTGTATTTCTCCCTTCTGCAAGCCCTCACCCCCAGTGGAGCTATCTTGCAGGACTCAGTCTCAATGGGCTGGGTTCCTCCAGTCACCAAATCAGTCATACACACAAACACACACAAATTAACGTGACACGCCTGACCTGGCCAGGCTGATCAGCATGGACAGGCTGACACCCTCATATGCCAAGAATCAGTTCATAAGAGCAACAATAAAATGCGGTCAGACACAAGCACACAGGTAAACAGAATCCCTCTGAATCCGGCTGGGTGTCCAGCTGACACCCTCATGGGCCAGCATTCAGTTCATAAGGGCACGTCTGAGTCAAACTGGGTCAATCATCCTGTACAAGCTGATCCCCTTATGTGTTTCAAACTCAGCACGTCCCAATCTTTGGCCTCTTGATGAGCAGACCCCACAATAATTTGGGCTTCACAGGGATCTTTAGCTTAGGTAAAAGAAGCGTTGCTGCAGAGCACGGGAGGAAAAAGAAGCAGAGAAGGAAAAATATACCCAGTTACTACCAAGTTTGACTATAAAAGTTATTTATTGCTAAGCATATGAAATATATAATAGTACTAGTAGTAATAGACATGCAAAAGAAAAACAAACACCAACAATGACAATACTACCCTGGTTTCACTAAGTATTTGGGGAAACTTAGCTCAAGCTTAACTGATACAGTTCAGGTTCAGAAGTTTATGCCTAGAAAGAAGACAGAGAACGCTGGGATCTCACCTAGTCCACGGTACTCAGGCTGCAAAGCTGACAGGCACAGTCTGTAGCACAGTCCTTGAAGGGAGAGATGATCTGTTCTTCCAGCGTCCCAAGAACGACAGGGGATGGTGTCAGCACAGGGGTTTTCTTCTTCTCCTTCTTTCCTCCTGCTTCTACTTCTTTTTCTTCCTTTTCCTCTAGCAGCACACACACTTACAGATTTTTATACCCTCAGTTTAGCTGCTTCGAAGCACCCTCAGTAGTGTAAATCATTGTCTTTTCTATTGACAAGGGGTTATCTGGTTTGGACCATCTCAGGAAACTGATTGATAATCAGGAAACACTTAAGATTAGGGAGTAACCCAAATACTTGGGAGCCAGCTTGAGATTCCTATGGGTGGCAGATATACTGATGGGATATCTCATGGTTTCTTCAGGAACAATAGATAGCTTGCAGCATCAGGATTTTGGATTTTTACTTGTTGTGCACAAGCCTCAGCTTAGCATGACTTTTCCAGATCTTACTATAGTCTTTTAACAGACTCAAGACAAATATTGGGGTGCTCATAACCTTTTGTGGAGAGGACTCCCACCAGTCGTCTCGGGAAAGATATGACAACACCTGGGATTAGGGCTCCAGCAGGCTGGATGCTGTGATGAACCCTTAACCATTGTTCAAATGTTGCCCATACCCCCTCTAACTCGGTCTCTTGCCTCAGCATTCCCTAATCTGGCAACCGAGTTTTAGTCAAACAAGTTTAAATAGGCCTCCCATAGTGGGACCGGGGAATGTACGGCCCGAGATACCTATTAAACTTAGAGCTGTGTGTGTGTGTGTGTCTGGGGGGAAAAGTCCTTAGTAAATCCAGATTAGAACTGGTCTGAGAAATGCTGAGCTGGGTGTGTGTGAACATGGGTTGATTAACATTTGAAACACAGATTCCCCATCATGCAGTGCTCTCCTGCTTCTCTGGTCCCAGAATTCACTGCAGTCTCTGCTTCAGGCTTTCTGTTCTCCATCTCTCATGTAAATGAATGGTCATCTGGTTCCATCTCGGATGTAAATGAGACCTAGGGCAGTTGTTTCACTCTTATCACCCTTATCTGGTGAGGGTCTTAGGTGTGTCTCTCACTGCATCTTAATCAGTTTCATTTAGGTAGAGGAGGGGGAGGGGTGAGTCCTTGTGAGTCAGACAGACTGCATCCTGTGCCAGGGTTGCCCAAGAACACAGAGCTGAGATGTAACAGGTGTGAACGGCTGTAGCCAGGTTGCACTGTAAGCAACACCTGAGGGCCAGGCCAGGGTCTGCACTAGCTCTGGTTCACAGGGCTGGTCTGTGGGCTTGATCCAGCCCGCAGACTGGTCTCATGCCCCAGGCCCAGATGAGTTTAACACGCCTGCCTTAGACTATTAGGCTAAAGCATGCGAGGGCCCTCTTTCCTTTCCCCTACTGGCAGGTATGCACACTCTTTATATCGCTATGGTTTTCTGGTATTTGCAAGGATTTCTATCAAAACTGTATTTCCATTTTTTAAAATCTGACAGATCTTCTAGTTTGCACTATGACTTCTCGCTGTCCTACATAGCTCACTCCTTTAAAAAGCAGCTTAAAGCATTAGGGCCAATTCCTCCATTGTCCTGCAATTTATAGGGCAAAAATCAGTGCAAACCTCTCCCATTTCAATTTGATTAGGCTTTGAACATTTTGTTTTAATGCATATGACAGTGCAAGGGTTAGGGTAGAGAACTGGGCCCTAAGCACTGCCAAATTCACAAGCTGAAAAAAGAGAACCATCTTATTTTTCTAGAATCACTTTCAGCTGGGTTCAGTTAGTGGAGCAAGAGCCATCACTAGCAAGGCTGAGACTTAACAGCTTGCTTTGCATTTCACTTGCAATAGTAGATGGTAAAAAATTATTTTGAACAGAAGTGTAATAGGTATTAAAGGACAACATTTTTAAGTATTATATTTTGGAACCAGATGTTCCAGTTTTTCTCCTCTTCATTTAGAAGTCACAAATGGCATTATCTGTGATACACAACCCAGACATTATATCACCACCAGTTAGGTCAGGAGTGTTTGATCAGTCAGTGGTTCTGAAGAAAGAACATTCAAGCGCTATTGAGGGATCAAAGTAAGGTGGTTATCCACACCTACTGTTCATTTCTGAATTGCCTTTTATTAAGAAGAAAGAAATAATCTAATTTGTTTCATGGAGAGGAATAATTCAATGAGTACATTAATCCCTCAAATGAAAAAGGAGGTTATAAAATTAGCCTCCTGGTCTTCAGCTTTTTCACAAAATGACTGCGTAGTTGTATAACCTTTGTTTCAGTGGGGGCTGGGACTGAATAAACAGTGTCCTGGCACAAATCCATGTGATAAAATTTGCTAGGGAGACATTTGTTACAGTAGTGAAGACCTCTGGTATACTCATTCCCTGCACCTATGCTCCCAGAAGACCCGTTGGCATAGCAGGTCACAGTGATAGTTTCTCTCTCTGTTTTAAACGCACACACAAACACAAGTAATTGCTTTTTCCTCCCCCCATTTCAGATGAGTTTATTTGCAACCCACAAAGAAGTCTGAGCCAACCAATGAATCAACTTCAACATCAACAGCAGCAAACCCTCTGCGGAAGTCCTGGTGTGGATCAGAAATCAGCATTTTCCCCTCAGTATTACAATTCTCCTTATCAGGACTTTAATGTGTTACGGTCTCATAAAATGTCAGGTAAGGACTACCAATAACCAATAAAAAAGTGGTTTTGATCTAGGGTTCAATACCAGCTGGAAGACCAAAGGCTTATAGGAGGGAGGTAGAAAACAGGCTTAAAACCTGTTTTCTACCTCCCTATTTAATTTTATTAAATATAGTGATTAGAGGTTTCTTGGGTAAAAAAAAAAAAAAACAAATTATTGTAAAACTAAAATTTTAGATGCATCTGGCAATAATTGGCTAAAAATCTCAGATTTCAACTGAAAAAAATTGAAAGTCATTCTATGAATGGCATCTTGTGTATTATGGAGTTTTTTTCTTGCAACTGAAAATGTGAAAAAGCACTAACATATTACAGAGCTGAATCACAGTTTAGCAGATTGAGGTTTGACTTAATTTTATGGGGTTTTTTGTTTTTTTTTTTTTAAATGGAGCGTGTTACATGAGAGGTATATAGATGCTGCAGCGGGTGTTAATTGTAATCTGTGGTTTACTATAGATGATAGTGTTTTGAGGGAGCTCATTCTAGCTCAAAAACAGGAAATCTACATGAAGAGCAAAAGAAAACATGAAGTTTCATATCTAGCCAAAATCTCAACATATGAGATTGTTCTTATCATTTTATATCATTTGTTCTTTGTTCTGTATAACTGACCGGGAAGATGCAAAGTTGTTTTCAGTTCTCTTAATAGAACATACATCATTAAATGGGAAAAACCACTTCATCTTCTAACTTTAGCCATGTGTAGGCATCAGCCATAAAATTACACTATTTTTCTTCTAATATTTTTTTTTCAGGTCTGAGTCGTCTGCTTGGGCCGTCTTTCGAACCATATTTGTTGCCTGAACTGACCAGATATGACTGTGAGGTTAATGTCCCTGTTTTGGGCAGTTCCACACTTCTGCAGGGAAGCGAGTTGCTCAGAGCTCTTGACCAGGCGACCTGAGCAATCCTGTAATATTCCTTGGCCTATACTGTTCAAAACAGCCTCAGTTTTTAAATATATTTTTACAAGTAGACAATTTCTAATACCAATACACTTTTTGCAAGATTTTACTTTAGATACTGAACTTGCCCATGTTACCAAATAGTGGCCTTTTTTGAAGTTACTCATTTTATTATTCATATTAAAAAAAATATAAAATCTACTGTATTTTTCTCTATTTCGATAAAAATGTTCTTTAGATAGACTGATTTTTCCCTACCTCTTCTCTCTCCCCCCCCCCCCCCTCCCACTGCTTGTAATTTATATTCTCTGAAATTTTTTCTTCAGTGTTCATGCTAATAAAATCTGTGGTGTAAATGCCTTGCCATGCAATCCTTTGGCTGCAGTACTGCATAGATTTATTTTTATTGCCAAAGAAACAAACAAAACAAAAATCTGATTTTATACCACAGTTTCTGTTGGACCTGGTAAATTAAAATCCTGTGTGCCCCTCTGCCTGTCCTGCCCTCTGGTTTCCAGCGCTAAACACAGTGTATCATTAACATCTGTGAAAAAAAATTAAAGATAAAACCCACCCCTCTGCCTCCCTCCCATTCTTCTCTCCCCGCCCCCCCCCCATTTTTTTCCCCCCCCCCCCCCCCCCGCCTTTATTTGATGCTATCTGTTGAAAGCAATGTGAAGGGTGAACTGCAGTGTTTGTGGATATCTGTGAAGCCATGTGTATAAGCCGGATCTTCGGCTGGTGTAAGCTGACCTAGATCTATTGATGTCAAGGACGTCAGTGACTTACCCTGGTAGATGATCTGGAACTGGATCTTCCTTGGTTTTATAATTTCTTTTGTTTTTACACAAAACATAACTGAGTTTTTAAAATGTTTATCTGGGTTAAATGTTTATCATATATTGGTACTTTTGTTATATCTCAGCCACAGAACCAGAACCGGAATTACTTCTTAAAAGTTGTTTTTGCTAGAATTTGGTAGCGTTTGTTATGGTGTAGCTGATATTGCAGGAATCTGTCCAAAGGCCGATACTAACACTGCTAATTATCAATTGTCTTTTTTGCATTTTACGTGCTAGGTAGCAACATAATCCTCAATAATGAAGTAATTTCAATTGTAAGTTGAAATAGTATTTCCCTTCACCTACTTATAAAAAGGGTGGGAGTCAGAGGGCTGGCTGAAAACTGAGCTTGCCTTGTACTGTTAATAGCCTTTCAAGTACACATAATCTTACAGCATGATGTTACAAAATAAACACACATCTTCAGAACCCCTGTTAAAAACTTGTGTTGCCATGAATTGAAAAGGGTGAGGATGTGGTTTTGGTCCTATAAATCCTTTTGCTGGAACAATATCCTTGCAGAGCCATAATAGTCTCATAAAACATGGAAGTGAATGGAACAGATTTTAGTATATTCATAAGCCTAGCTGTTTAGTGGACAACCAAGAGTGAAAGGGCAAGGATGAAACCCATTACAACAAAAAATGTGAAGAGACCATCAGAGCAAACCATGTTTTCTTGCCACAGGGTTAACAAACCTTTTTCTCTTTGTAGAATTACTGTAACTTCACTGAAGGAACTGGAGCAATTACAAATTACACTAAGTAAAAATCTAGCCCCAAATCAAAGTTATTTCTATTCAACCTGCCAGCTCTGCTATAGCTTGTGATCATATAGAATCCCTCTGTATATTTGCAGATAGGGTGCACTGGATTAATTGAGCACTTCAGAATGTCTTGTATTTAAATGATACTTATAAGCTATTCTATACATTAAGGTTGCATATAGACATTTGGGGAGGTTAGATCGAGTTAAAATAGCCACCTGATTTAAGGTGATTTGGAATGGGAGGGGTAGTGGAGGGGAAGGGGATTGGGAGGGAGAAGCAGGCTTCTGGAGGGGAAAATCGGGTCTGTGGGGAAATCAGGGGGTCAGGCATCATCTCTGGGGTCCAGGAGGGTTTGGTGGGATCAGGGAGGCTTGCAGGGGAGCTTGTGGGGGAGGTCAGGCACTCCTTTCCCCCATTCTCTGGGATCAGAGGCTATTTTTAGCTCCCTGACTCCCCTACCGCCAAGCAACCAATCCCTGGGGTGAACCTACCATCAACATCCCTTCCACCCCTCCCCCCACCAGGACTTACTTCCTCTGCTCCCAGCATCAATGAATGCTGATGAACCTGGCACCAGAACTGGCTTGTAGGATGGGTGGTAGGGAAATAGCTGGTCCTGGGTGGAGGGGTTGTCCATCTGGGGATGAGGCGCTAACAATAGCCTGGTGTCAGGAAGGGAGTAGGACAAGTGCAGCCCAGGGGTTGGGGCCAGCAACTGGGCTTTTCCAGGATATACTGATCTAAAAATTGCTAACCCAGTTTAAGTTAGGTGTACCTCAGAGGCAGGGTTAACTTGGATTGGGGCGGCCATTTTTAGACTACTCTAACTGTCCTGAACTTCTGTACAGTTCAAACTTAGATCAACCTAACTTATGTAAGGTCCACACCCAGGTGAACTAAGTTAGATCAGGCAGCCTTAGGTAATCTACCCTCCCCAAATGTCTGCACAGAGCCTAAAAGGAAACTGAAAGTCTTTTCTGTCATTGGTACATTAAAATGTTACTGGGGTCTCCATCCATGACTGAGCCTTTAAGGACTGCTTACCAAAATAAAGTTACTTTTAAAAAGAATCTATAGCAAAAGAAAAAGTACATACATTAAAAACATCTTATGATGCATAGCAAAGCAACATTGACAAATCTGCAATGTAATGACTTGAAGGGTTAATGACACTTAAATACTACTCTTATTTTCTGCTTGTGTAGTTTCAGCATTAAAGAATGTTACACCCTAACAGTTTACTAAAACACTCTGCAAAATATTCCCTGCTTAATATTAACCATACCTATCATCATAATTATTTCATGATCTATATTGCTGAATTCTTATTGACAATATTATAACTGTATGGGAACTTTTAACTTGATAAGGAAATGTAATTTGACACTGATACCTTATTAAAGTATACTGATCCGAAATTCCTTGTGACTCTTGTTTGCTATGAATTTGTCATTTGTTGTATCATTGTAAAACAAAGTATTTATTAAATTATTTATAGAAAATAAAGGTTTGCATTGATCTTTAAAAGCATGCAAAAGGAACAAAAATATGCATATATATTCATAGTTGAAAATGGAAGAGAAGACAAGGGTGCTAGAATTAACAAAGGTGCATCATCAACTTCTTTG